TAAATATTACAACAAATCCGTAACTAAATGTGACTTTCACATCATTAGTAAACGACTTAATGTTTCTGTATGTTTTAGGCAGGGGCAATGAACTTTATTATGGAGAACCCATCGTTGGCACAATCTGATGTTTTTGATGATTTACCGGACCATTTACAAACAGAAGTAGAACACTTGGTAGCATGGAGTGGGTAAGTGGAATATTATAAAATGTACTCTATGTGTATACATGATAAGTGTAACTCTGTGAGGTTACTTGTTTGTATTGTTGATACAACATTTTTGACATTTATCCACAACCGATTGGGTAATGCAGCCTATGGCGTCATGAGTGAATGATATGACCGTAGTGATGTGATGTGATAACGAAAAATATTTCTGTCCTCTGTACAAGCAACAATTATGATGGCATGATCTTTTCTAGCTTGATGTGTACACCTTTAGTATGCTGTCTATGTGTCTTTATGCCTTCTACTATTGCAGTTTGTCTTGTATATCAATAAATCATTAGACAACTACAGACTGTAGTTATTTAGTCTAACTGTGAACTTGATCAGTCAAACACAAAGTAGCGCCCTCACTATTTATAACTGTTTTTTGTATCACTTACTTTTTTTTTTTACCTCAAAGCACAAACTTAGACAATCAACAAGACACTCCTAATCCATAAATTATTATCAAAATTCATCATGTCATTATAAGACTGTTTCATATGTAACCCTATGCATGTACTTTTACAAATGTAACTGTGTTATTTTCAGAAATGAGATGTCACCAACACATGTTTGTCAGTACACAACGTTAGAGAGCTTGTCAGCTGATACAGAGTTACAAGAACTAGAAATGAAAGAATTAGCATGTGCTTTGGAAATGTCAAGGGAGGTTAGTATAAAAATTTATCTGTTTGTCATATTAGAAGCACATCTGAGTGTATGTATTAAGGTAGTTTGCTACCATTAAAAAATTTATCATTTAGAAATTGTGTGATAATTCACATACATGCAAGTCATTCATTTTTAAAGTATTTACAGAGAAAGAATGATGTGTTTTCAAGAAAACATAATTATGCAAAATAATCCAAGAAGTGGCCATTTTGTAAAATTTTCCATAGGATTCCATGTAAACATATTATTCTATGGATAACTTATACTAAAATTTTTTATGACAGCCATATGTAGCCTTCCTAACACTACATATGGCATAGGTCATCCTACAAAATGTTGAGGTAGAGACCAACTATAAACTACATGCATTTTTGATCAATTTTTGAAGTCGTTTTGTGGAAAACTTAGTTTACCATACCATAAATTTTATTTCAGAATTTTTAACATTACAGTAACCCAACCTCACTTACTAGATTCAAGGGTTTCTGAGTATGTTTTTTAATGGTAGATTGATGCTTTTTGGTGGTGAAAAACAAAGAATATGCATACATGTGGGCAGACAGTGGCTTTCCAATTTTGTTGAAACTACCTACATTTTCACCTTTTCTTCTTACTTGAAAAAAAAAAGGATAACAAATATATCACTATACATTACAGAAATTAAGCACACCGGTTTCAGTGCTATTGTACTGTGCTGTTTATATATAAATTTCATTAATTGAAAATGTGGTGTATAGTATGTGAGGTATGTTACTTGTGTGATCACAGTTTACTTTGGTGGTTTCTGTACATTTATACTTGAAACAGACCACGTTTTGAAGATCACATTACAAGTCACTAACTTGTCAGGTGAATACAAGATCACAAGCCAATTGTACATCTTTATCTTATAAATTGTTGGTACAATGCATTGTAATTGTTGAAATGGTCATCATTCGTCCATTAGTTAAAGGGAGGGCTTCATGCATAATGTTACTGTTCCCTTACAGGCTACAGTTGCCTACTCCGAAGAGGATTCCAGCTCATCGGAAATTGACGTAGCTATGACCGAGAATAGTCACGAGTTGAATACCTGCATCAGTCAATTACGTGACATAGTTGGCGATGATGTACCAAGGGAGGAGTTGGTACGAGTCTCGCTTGCTGCGGACTATGATGTCAACAGAGCTCTCAATTTCTTCTTTTCAACTTAGCTCGATGATGAAAGGCAATGTGGATAATTTAGGTAATACTTTTGTATGATATAAAGTGTTGCTTAAGATGATGGATTTGATTCATTGTAAGGCCAGGAAATATAATATTGTTTATTGGATCCGCTAGCACCTGCCTGATTGCATTATACATTTTTCTTTGTAGAAAGATGTAGATGTACCTGACTATTGTTCGCGCAGCAAGAGTACCGGTATTGCAAACTGCAAGCACTCAGGCTGAGAGTTGTCTATGGGTTTTCTCAACTTCATTCACTGCTGATGATT